TTGTTCAATTAATTAAAAAAATCAAATAAGATACATTTAGTTATTATCACTCTCGATTAAGTAATTTGAAACTCCTTCCGATGTTTCCATTCCATCAATCTCTTCCTCTTCATCATCATCTTGACCCACACATTCTTCCTCTGCCACATATGGCAATTGCATGACCTCACTAATCACCACTTGTTCTCTCCCTTTAGATGCTAGTGAAACATGATCATTTAAAACAGTCGAGGGTTGCACCAATTGTGGCATAGGAGGATCATCATCTTGATACTAAACATTTCCACCATCACTCAATAATGAAGTGTCAATTATTGCTCTTGCTCTAATCTTACATGCAGCAAACCACCTTTTTCTACAAGGATTTTGAGATGGGTAACGGGCATAAAACACTTGTTGAGCTTGACTGGCCAATATGAATGGTTCATCTATTTGTAATTTAAACCGAGGATTTATGTCAACTATACCAGATGATTTATGTCAACTATACCAGATGTCGGATAGACCAGAATGCCTTTGTTGATATCATACCACTCACACTTGAACAAAATCACTGATTGATGAACATATGAGTCAAAATACTGAAACTCAATTATTTCTTTCAAACACCTATAATAATCTGACTCATCATTGAAAATGGTTCTCTTCACACAAACACCACTATTCATGATTTTTTTATTTTGTTCATATGCAATAGTATGAAACCGGAATCCATTAACCCAATAACCATTGTATACCCTAACGTTATTGACTGGACCAGTTACTAAAGGCAAAAGGCGAGAATCAACCCCATATCTTCCACTAAGCACCTGGATTTGTTATAAAAATATTTAATATTTAATCCTAAAATATATAAAAATTGAGATCTTAATAATAAAAATTATTAAAATAAATTACTTACCATTGTCTTAAACTAAGGAATAAATTCAAGTTGTTGTTTGATTTACATTTGATCGTCTGATAGATCGGAACATACTTGATAATCAAAAAGCCTACATGAAGAAGTTGGAGTACACAATCTATACAGACTAGTAACTTAAACAAATGAAAGTTAGAACTAGAGAACATACGCAATTCATAAATTAACTTCTTCACAATTAAGCAAAACATAAAGTTTTGCTGCCTTTAATTCTTTGGGTGACAGTGCACACATACGCATTTCTCCACCTAATGGTTGACCTCGATGTTTAAAGACAGACAAACAATTATCCATATCATCATTCACGCCGACAATATTTCTTGGTTGACGATTCAATCTTGTCTCTATGTCAGATCCAAAATAATGCGAGCAAAAGAAGGTAATTTCTGAAAGAATATTAGACTCGCAAATCGAAGCTTCAACACGATTTTTGTTCAACACTGTTTTCTTAAGGTCATGCATTTTTCTATTAAACAAATAAGAAAATTAATTAATAACATTAAATTATTAAATATGCTCATGAATATTATTGTGATGCAAAGATATATTAGAAGAAATATACCTTTCAAAAGGATACATCCAACGAAATTGGACAAGTCCTCCAACTTTTGCCTCATATGGTAGATGGATAGCCAAATGCTCCATCGAGTCAAAGAATATTGGCGGGAATACTTTCTCTAGCTTGCAAATGGTCTCAACAATTTTTTCCTCCCACATCTTCATGTTACTGACTTAAATAATTGAAGCAGTTAAAACTCTAAAAAAGTTACTAATCTCAGCTAAAAGACCCCAAACTTCATCTATGAGGAAATCACGGAAAGCAATTAGTAAGAGACGCTGCATGAATACATGATAATCATGGCTTTTCATCCCAAATAATCGAAGTTCCTGCATGTTAACACATCATGCTATGTTGGATGCATACATATCTGGAAATCTCAATTCCTTCAGCCACTGACAGATAAGAGCTCGTTGCTCTTGAGTAAGAACATATGTAGCATTGGGATTTATAACTGTTCCATCATCTTGAGGTATCAATTCTAATTCAAATCTATTGTAATATAGTTGTAGATACAATCTAGCATTGTTCTTATCTTTCGTATAACCCTTGTCATCCATGACAGTATTTTTAATGCTATCTAAAAAATTCTTCTCACAATGCATGACATCAAGGTTATAACGAATAAATAAATCCTTCCAGTATGGCAATTCCCAAAATATACTACGTTTCATCCAATTATGGAAAACACCAAATCCTGCAATTGAATGTTCACGAAGTGGCTAGCCAAAGACTATGTCAGGGAGCTGATTAACCCTTTCTTCCATCAAAATACCATCTAGTCTTGGGGGG